CCGCGGCGGCGCGAGGAACGCGCTGCCGCGGCGGGTGAGCGCGGAACGCCCACGCCGTGCTGGAGCGCGGCCAGTGCTCGGCGCCAGAATCGCAGTGGTTGGTTTTTCAGCTGCGAAGTTTTGGGGGCCCCCTCGCCCAGGGAAAACCTGGAATAGGGGTGGCTTCAGTATCGACGGCTGTGCTCTTTTGCTCATGGCACAGTTGTACGGCAATCATGATCCAAGCATGATCCTCCTCTTCGTTCTCCTCCTCCCTCCCCCGTCCAACCTTTGGTGGTGGTGGTGGAAACAGGCCCATCAGCCATCCCCCAGGACAGTCTCCTCGACCTGAGCCGTCTTCAGACAATGCTGGGGCCCTGGGAGGGCCAGGAGCCCGACAACGGAAACAAACACCTCAAGACCTGTTTCTCTCAGGAACCGTTGGGAGAAACACAGCTGCGCTACCGAGGACTCCCACCCACTTATCTTATGCCGCGCGTGCTCAAAGACAATGTCGTATCCTTCTTTTCTAAATGCTCAAACAATGCGTTTTCTGTAACACGCCATCCACTACGCTGGATCGCAACGTAACATTCGCAACGCAACGTTGTGCGAAACTACGCCCGTCCCCTCCCCCCATTCCCCTCCTTCCTTCCTCCGACTCAGTCAAGATCGCGCTGCGCTGCTTGTGCGATGGTGCGGCGAAGCGCAGCCTCGCGACGCGAAGTCTCCGCGCCGCATGCGCGGCAGAAGAAAAAAGCTTGGAAACACCCTTCGACGGAAAGTCCTTTTTGGCGCCTTTCGAGGATCTCTGGGCGGCTGCCAATAAAAAAACGCGAGCTCAGCGGGGGCCAAGAAAGTCTGTCATCGCGCGCCTCTGTGTCATATGCTACGCCGCGCTGCATTAACACGACTCTGATGGCGCCAGGCGGGCGTTTTGCGCCGTCGAACTATTACGACCTCGAACTTGTACTGCCAAATTGGGAAGGTCTCCGACTCCATAGGCCGTGCCCAAGTATGTCTTCGATTGCGCATTTGAACTCAAGCTACATGGGGACAGACTCGGCCATGGGATCCTCCAGCTGCACCCCGTCACCAGCCCAGACCAACCTCAATTTCATCAAGAGCATCCCCATCATCTATTCGGTGCCAGGCGGAGTCGCCACCACTAAATCGGAGCTTGGCGTTTTTGCATACACTTCGTTCATCACCTCCATGAGTCCCGTGGCTTCGGCGAAGATCGCCGCTGGCCCCTGCGCCATACGGTCTGCGGCCGTGATGACTCCAAGCCCGGACGACGCTGTCTCCGACTGGCACGCAGGCACCGCACTCGAACACTGGGGTGTGGAGAACGTGCCACGCCTGCGACGCTTTCCGACACTGGCACGCATGGCGACCCCACCCTCGGCGAACCCTCTGTGGCGTTGGAGGATGTGCCACGCCTGCCACGCTTTCCGACCCACGCATAGCGACCCCACCCCCTGCGTATCCCCTGCGGTGCGGAGAATGTGCATCGCCTGCCACGCTTTCCGACCCCGGCCCGCATAGCGACCCCAGCCCTTGCACACCCCCTGCGGTGTGGGGAATCTGCTACGCATGCCACGATTTCCGACCCTGGCACGCATGGCGACCCCTACCCTGCGCACCCCCTGCGGTGTGGAGTGTGCAACGCCTGGGAGACGCGGGTGCGACGCGAGAGGGAAGAAGACAAATCCCACGAAACGTTCGTTATAGCGTTGTCTCGTCCACGTGTCCTCCCGCTCTTGCCTGCGCGTGGTGTGAATGCGTGGTATGTGTATGTCTTTGTGCGTGCGGCGGCATGTTTGTCTGTTCCGTGTCTTATGCGCATGTGTTGCGCGCGGGTGGGAGTACGAAGGAAAAGGAGGAGAGGTGAGGGGAGGTGTGCAAATGAGACGTGGGTGCGACGCGAATATGAAGGAGACAAAAAGCCCACTCAGCACGTGGGAACAAAAACAACATACTCGTATATTCTCGGATGTCCGCGCGGATTTCTTGGATCGGCACTGGACCCCCCTCCCTGGCGCATGGAGCGCACTGGCGGCGGCGCCAGAGGCGCCGCCAGAGAGGCCCCACGCCGATCCACGAAATCCACGCAAACCTCAGAAGAATTGTGTTTATGCAAATTCGTGCTCTTCCAGGATATTGGAAACAAACCGGTCCAGCCGAGATCTACAGTCGACCCACATAATAAGGATGCACGATAAGGATGCAAGGGCCTCGGAGGGCCGTTTCGAGGCTGTCCGAGCGGGGCGCGACCAATGGAAGTGGCAAGGGTTAGACCGAGGAGGCAAGGATGCAAGGGTACCCTTGGGAAGGTTGCCCATCCTTACTATGCGGGTTGACTGTATGTCGGATCGGATCGGATCGAAGCGGGCCCAGCGGGGTGACCAGCCCACCGCGGGTCTCGGAGCTGCTCCCAGGCGGGCTTCCATGGGCCGTGGCCGTGCCAGAACACGGGCGCGTGCCGCCTCCCGACGAACCTTGCCAGGGGGGGCAGGAG